CTACACACAGACGCCAGTAACATCGGCCTTGGTGCAGTCCTTGTCCAGTGGCAAGGCGGTGTCGAACGCCCTATTGCTTATGCGAGTCGGATTTTATCATCTGCGGAGGCAAATTACACAACAACTGAAAAGGAGTGCCTAGCTGTTGTCTGGGCAATAGCTAAATTCAGACCGTACCTGTATGGTCGCCCGTTCAGAGTTGTTACCGATCATCATGCGCTCTGCTGGTTGGCGAACCTTAAAGACCCTTCCGGACGTCTGGCCAGGTGGAGCTTACGCCTTCAGGAGTTCGATTTGACAGTCGTGTACAAGTCTGGCCGGAAGCATACTGACGCGGACTGCCTTTCCCGAGCTCCTCTTAAGACAGTGTCAGGTGATCACGATCTCGACGGCCGTTTTCTCTGCGCCGTTAGTGTATCCGACTTGGCCGAACAGCAGAAGAACGATTCCGAGCTTCGACAATTCATCGAATATCTCGAAGGCCGTACGCCGCATCCACCACCAGCATTCGCCCGCTCGTCATCATCGTTCTGCGTCCGCAGAAATATCCTCTATAAAAGAAACTTCGACCCTTACGCGACTGAGTACCTGCTCGTTGTCCCGCCAGCGTTACGAGCCGATGTCTTGTCCGCCTGTCACGATGAGCCTTCCTCAGGCCACTTGGGATACACACGTACCTTGGCCCGGATTCGCCAACACTACTACTGGCCTAAGCTCAGTCGAGACGTGAAGCATTACGTGAAGACGTGTCACGAGTGCCAGCGCCGTAAAGCACCACATCAGCGCCCAGCCGGCTTTTTGAAGCCCATCGCTCCTCCGACACAACCGTTCCAACAAATAGGCATGGATCTACTCGGACCTTTTCCCAAGTCTCGTGACGGCAACCGCTGGATTGTAGTCGCTACTGATTACATGACGCGCTACTGCGAAACGAAGGCATTACAACGTGGCACCGCCATTGAGACTGCCCACTTTTTTATGAAAAACATCGTCCTCCGACATGGAGCACCAGCAGTTGTCATAACTGATCGTGGCACAGCTTTTACCGCCCGGATGATACAAGACGTCATGCAGCTTAGCGGCACAGTACATCGAAAAACTACTGCATACCACCCACAAAGCAACGGCCTTACAGAGCGACTAAACAAGACGATCGCCGACATGCTATCCATGTACGTTGACCAAGACCACAAAAACTGGGATGACATCCTCCCTTATGTCACGTTCGCTTACAACACCGCTGTGCAAGAAACAACTGGATTCACACCATTCCGGTTGCTTCATGGTAGGGAGGTCACTACAATGCTGGATGCCATGCTTCTACCAGACAGACACCAGATTAGTGTCAAGACGAACGAATTTATCAGACTGGCAGACGCGGCTCGTAAGCTTGCAGTCGAACGAATCCATAAGCAACAATGCATCGACTCGCTGCGGTACAACGCTCGTCGTCGCGATGTCTCTTACCAACCCGGAGAACGAGTATGGCTGTGGACTCCCAATCGACAACGGGGCCGGTCGGAAAAGTTGTTACGCCGCTATTTTGGTCCCTATAGAGTTCTCCGTCGTCTCAGCGAAGTGAACTACGAGGTTCTTGACGAGGACATGGCTCGTCAATCCCGCCGTTTACAACAGCCGCACGTCGTCCATGTTTCGAGGATGAACCATTTACCAACGCTGACTATTCGTCACACTCCCTTGAGTAGACTTACAGTGATTGTGAACACCCCCTTGTGTACTGCTTATCGTGTGTGTTTTCATCTGGCAATAATGTTATGACATCGGGACGATGTCCTTTGGGAAGGGGGGTAATGCCACTAGTACAAGTTCTGAAACTATTATTTCTACAGATGCTAGCATGCTTGTATGTGCCGCTGTTCAGAAGAGGACAAAGATGCGCGTGCAGAGAAAAACAATAGTCGTACTGCCGTTGTTCGAATCAGTTTGACGTCCTTGTGTGCCCTTATCAGCAGGTTACAGTCACGTTGTAACGTGACAATATATATATATATATATATATATTTGTTGTGGTTGGGATTTAAACTTATCCGAATTATGTGAGTTCGGATGGCAACGACCAACAGGCAATTGTTTTTGCCTATTTAAATTCATTTCAGTTTACGCTACAATAATATGGTACACTTAAAGACAACAAGCCACTGCCTCCAATGTTTCTGGCAAAATGCGTCGGACCATCTTGCGGATGTTGCTCGGCTTGCTGGTGAGCTAAAACAGAAACCAGTGCTCAAAATGACAAGCTGAAACGAGTGATGAACAGGAGCTTCGGTGAGCTGAACGTCGGGAGAAGCATGCAGAAACACGACAGAGACGATCTTTGGGGGCGGCAATGGACACCTCACGTTCGGCTTCGGTTTCGGAAACAGAAGAAACGACACTTTTACCTGAGCGTTTACAATGTGTTTGGTCATATTTGCATATGTTATCGATTAACACACAAACGTATAGAAAAAACTGTGGTGCGCACGCATAGAATGATTGTGCGAGCAGCTGGACACTCGCTATGCTTATGAAGTCTACTGAATGAATGAATGAATGAATGCAAAACTTTATTACAAATATTCTTTTCAGGTGAAGGTGGAGCCCTCAGTCCAGGGCACCTGTGGCCTTCGCCAACTTGCAAGCTCTGTCGATCAGCTTGAGCTGTTCTTCAGGCTTAGAGCAGGACAGCGCAGCCTCCCACTGCTCCGGTGTTAGTGTACAGTTTCTTGGCACTTCCTGGGTGTGTTGGCAGGCCCATTTCACGTGGTAGAATGTGGGGTATTCTCTGCATAGCGGGCATTTGTTGGCGTATATTCCCGGATAGATTTTACTCAGAAGACTGAGATTGGGGTACGTATAAGTCTGCAGCTGTCTCCAGGCAACCGACTGCTCTCTGCTGAGGTCTTTGTGGGGAGGAGGGTATATCCTCCTCAGGGCTCTCTGGTGTTCTAAAATTGCTCCATAGCGTCTAGTAACTGTGGCTGGTTCCTCGTCGTTGTGCGCACCCGGACGGCGTATTCTGGGGCAATGGCGTAGGCACGCTGCTTCCCAGTCACAGTTTTATGGCCTGGTGTCCACGTAATGGAGCAGCTCGAGAAGTTGATTTTGCTTCCCTTGAGTATGTGGATGGCAGCACTGGATATGCGTCCACTGCTGTACCATCGACACGCTTCTTGCGAGTCAGTAACTATTTCTGTAGTAGACTCTTCGCTCTGGTGTGTGATGAAGTCAACTGAGTGAAGCGTGACGGGTGAAGGGCGTTAAAATTTTTTTCGCTGTCCTTAAGCACCCAACCTGACCTGGTTTCGGCAAGACGAAGTTGTCAAAATGCGAAATATGTGCTGTTTTCACAAGTCTTAGGGAATGCTGCATCTGTGCGGAGCTCAGCGTAAGCGACGCTCAACTAATGGCGAATTCCATTGAGATAACAGGAGTATAGGGGCAGGGCATGGGGAGGGGGGACAGAGCACTGAAAGTAGGGCCACTCAACCTGCCACTGGAATGTACCGCGCTCCCGCAGGGAAGGTGAGAAGATGACGAGACCATGTGACTGAAACATTCCAAGCCCCGGCATATTTTTTGTGGGGCAGCAGCAAAATACGCGCGGAATCGGTGAACCACGTGTTCTTCATCATCCTAATACCTAGTATGTTTGTGCAATGACCCATTCGGCAGACGTCCAGCTGCCATCGTAGCCATTCGTACTAAACAGTGATGTGGTGGCTAACACAACAGTGATGTCAAACTGCACATGGTTGGTGTCATTGCCACCACGCTCGCCGGCTGAAGAACATTTCGGAAACTGTGAAGTTCAAGGGCCACGTGACTAGTGGTACTTCGCCTACTCCGCTTTTGAGGCAAGAGCACTACAAACTGCTCCTGGCTGCTCTCGGCAGAGCAAAAGCACTATCGCTCTACCAATGAATGACACTGCTCCTGCACCTGTTCGACCACTGAAACACGCCGGCTCTGAAGAGATCCCTTTCAGCGTGCTTTTAAGTGCTTCTGCTGTCTCAATGGAATTCACCATATAGAAATCTACTGAGTATTCTCACTACTACATGTTCTGCTAGCCTTATCGGTTAGCAAACTGTGTTTCGGCTGCAAAGGTAAACAAGCATAGCCTAAGGTTACAACTAATAGCTCGCATAACCGTGCCGCGGCTGTGACTGGGCGTAGCCGAGCTGAGCCGCAGGCAAATTTTACTAACCGCTGTGATAATACGTGTGCTCTATTCAGCGAAGTGTGCATTCAAATGCAATGTGTCTAATTGCTTCAGCCAACAACATCCTTCGTGTTCTGTTCACTGGCCCTGAATTGGTCTTTTGATAATTTGGATCACAACTGCTATTCGCTGGAAAACGATGCCATCTACTCTAGGTTGTTCATGTTTTCATCATGCATTTCGGGGGACCCGTATATCCATCCATTGAATCTAGTCGGTGCACGGGGCGGGACACGAACGTTATGTAAAAGTTTTGTTAAACATGAAAAAAACACATGCTGCAGTCTTGCTTGATACTCAGTATATATGATACGCAGTATATATGACAATGATGGAGAACAGACGTGCCCTCTAAACTGAAGCGAATTCTAGATTGCATTCTTTTCTTTACATGTTTTATAATACCCGCAGCGTAGAAGTAAGAATCATTTCACCAGTTCCCTTGTAGACTAGAATATTCGAAAGGTCTGTGATAGATACGTCATATCAACCAACCTTATGAAGTATACAGTTGAGTGCGTCAGAGGGGCGCAGCAAGAAAGTTTACTTACACTTTCTACCGTTTTGAATAGTATCAGAGGTAATGCACAGCGTCAGTCGAAAGTTTCCCTTAGAATCCCTATATTTTTGTGGCGGCGTGGCCTGGGTATACTTCACTGACCCTGTGCACCAGTGTGAAAACGGCAAGTGTTTTTCAATGAGTGTTACGTATTGACTGATATAGCTAGAGTGGCCTTCTTTGCTTATACGAGACATTTTTACGCAACATTTTCAGACTTGCAGCGCTTGAAGGAAAGAAATCTTGCACGTTTCAACTGTACAACCCTTTATGAGCCTTCAACGAACAACGCCAAAATCACACGCTTTTACTATGACAGTTACAGGAAAGTCTGCAGAGTGGGCATTGTCTCTAAAGGCGATAACTATTTTCCCGCACTGCGTTACTGCCTCTTCATGTGCAACACAAGTGAGTTTGCTTGTTTATTTATTTATTTATTTATTTATTTATTTATTTATTTATCCAGAAATACCCTGCTGTACCAAGAGGCATGTAAGCAGGGAGGTTACTGTTTGCAAAAAAAACTGCGTTTTTGCAGCACACTTGGTCACAACACAAAACAAACGATTCCACTCTACTACAGTGTGAACAAAAAAAGAATTAGTATATAGGTTCGTTCTACACTAGTATTCGTAAATTTTAAATGAATGATCGCATCTTTTGGACACGTGATGCGGAGGCTTGAGGTACTTGTCTTTCTTAATGCCAGTTTTTTTTTGTGGTACAACTGATATAACATTTGGAAGCGCAATTTTGTCCTGCGAGAAAACAGTGCTTCCCATCCCAGCACGTCTTTCATTTCAGTACAGCTGTCGTCTCGTTTGTACCACCTTAGAACGAACCTTGCCGATCGGTTCTGTATTCTCTCAATGTGACCAATCAAAGACTTTTGTTTTGGATCCCACACACAACACTCCAATTCCAAAATCGGGTGGACGAACGAAATATAGGCCGTGTTTTTTTTAAAGGAGCAGGTTAGGGTCTCAGGTTACGCTGATTGAAATTTAGTGCTTTGGTGGGTTTTGCAACCACAGCATGCACATGCGCATTCCAAGAACAGTCGCTCGCAAAGGTTATACCTAGGTATTTATACGTTGGTTGCTGATGAATGACGTCACCGTTCAGAAAAAAACGCGTTTCATCTATTTTCTTTTTTTAGTAAAAGACACATGAACACATATTTATCGTTAAGTAGCAATTCCCACTACTCGCATCATATCATAATTCTGGCAAAGACGGCCTGGAATTCAATGAAGTCCTGATCATTTTTTTCATTTTCTTGTATACGACCGAGTCATCGGCAAATAAACCTACTTTAGAATATCCCGTGAGGAATGTTATTAATGTAGACTAAAAACAGTAGCGGCCCTAAAATGAAATCCTGAGGGACACCCGATGTAACTTCTACCATGGGCGAAGCGATACCATTCATAACAACGCATTGTAGACGCTGTGACAGATAACTGGCAATTCATTTTAGCACATCTTTATCAATGTTTGCCATTTCAAGTATGTTAAGAAGCAAGGGGTGGGACACGGTGTCAAACGCTTTTCTGAAATCTAAAAAAATGCAGTCAGTTCGCCAATTATCGTCCACCTGAGTCACTAAATCCTGGTAGAATTCAATCAGTTGCGTTGTGCAAGACAGGCCCTTGCAGAAACCATGCTGAACATCGACTTACAATTCGTGTTGGAGTAGGTGTTTCATTGTCTTCATACAGTGCATGCTCCAATATCTTTCAGGGAATTGAGGTTAAAGAAATGGACCTACAGTTGTTTGCCTCTTTTTTGGAACCACCTTTGTGAATAGAAACCACATAGGCCCTTTCCCAGTCTCCAGGCAGAATTCCAGTAGCGAGAGATTTCTTGTATAATAGATAAAGATAAGATGCAATCGGCCAGGCACATCGCTTCAATAAGCAGGGGGAAATACGATCTGGGCCTGGTGCCTTAGTTTCATCTATGTTTTTTAACTGGGATTCGATACCATTGACACAAAATTCAACAGGTAGCAATAATGACTTAGTTGCTGAAGGAGGCTCAACCAGCGCGGATAGTTTCACAGTATCATTTACAGGTAAAAATACGGAATCAAAGAAACCATTCAGACATGTTGCCTTATTAATGTCGCTGGAGAAGATTTTAATGTCATGAACGATTTCATCCACTTCAGTTGGGTCAGCACCGCAGTTTCTTATGTACATCCAAAAAGTTGGGGGTTAGTTTTTATGCTTTCATTCAGTCGACTGAAGTACTGATCCTTTGAACTACGTACTTTAGATTTATATGCATTAGTTACGCCCCTAACCCATTGTACTGATAAATACTTTGGGTTCTTTTAAATGTCTGGTGTACTCGTCGTCTTCTCCTTGTTATTCTGAAAATCGCTGGTGAGATCCATGGCTTTTTGCACTTTTTGAATTTAGCCGCATCGGTACATACTTCTCCGTAAGTTCCGTAGTTTTTTGGCTTTAAAAAGAGACCAAAGCTGTAAAACATCGAGGTTCTCACAATGACAATCAAAAACAGATAAATGAGCAAACAATTCTTGTGAAATAGCAGAGTAACCACCCTTGTCATAAAAATAAACCTTTCTAAATTGGCGAGACCTTGGTCTTTTGATCTTATGTTTTATTGTTGCTACAACAGCGAGATGATTGCTAATATCGGAAATGCATGTAACAGACTCTACTGTATTAGGCGAATTGCAAAAAAAGCAAATTCAAAATGTTGTTGTTTCTTGTGGCAATGCTAACGTATTGAGGCCGAACGTGTCAACGATGCTTTGAATGTTTTCGCGACAACCAGTCAAGGTGATACATGTTCCATTGGACCATGTCAAATTGTGTAGAATAAAATCACCAGCAAGAATAAGCAGAGACGATGTCTTCGAAGTAATGTTGTACAAATGCTGCAACACGGCTTGGTAAGAACTCGGTGGTCGATAAAATGTTCCGGCAATAAATTTTCGTATTGTCGACAAGGGTCACCATGCACCAGACAGATTTTACTTCATCATGCCCGATATCAAGCTCAAATGAACGTAAAGAAGAGTGAACCAACAGTAACACCTCGCCGCCTGTTTTTGCCCTTTCATCTTGGTAAACGTTAAAGTGGCCAGGAAACACCTCACAATCACTGATTGACAGTATCAGCCACGATTCTGTCCCAAACAATATATCCACTTTCGTCGATTCAATAAGGCCAGTGAATTCATCTATTTCATTCACAAGACTTCTACAATTTACAACAAGAACTGCTATGTTTCGTGAAGATGAGACAGTCTTACAAGTAGGGTGTCACTTTTTTTGAGCAGTGAGTACCTTTCCATTGATTTTGTCCTACATAAATATCTTACCATCCACAATAAGATTGTCAAACTTTAGCTTAACCTTACTGCTGCTGTAGTCGGCAAGTTCTGTTTTAGCATAGTTCCACGGTTCTTTTCGGATCTCTCGTGTTTCTGGTGCATAACCCTGATCTACACTGAAATCAGACCTTTTGAATTTTTTAACATTTTTATCCGTTTCTTTTTTGTAGGAGGCAAAATGAAGAATAATTGGCTGGTTGTACTTTTTGTTAAATCGACCAATTCGGTGTGCTCTTTGCACTGACGTCTGCTGAATTCTAAGACGAGTTAGACACATATTCTTTATTAGTTCTTTAGACTTAGCCCACGTATCTGTCTTATCGTCTTTAACCCCGAAAAAGACCAGGTTGGCCCTTCGACTTCTCTCTTCCAGGTCGGTATTTTTTGTTCGCCATTCCTGAACTTTCTTTTCGAGCTGTTCGACCACAGTTCTATGTCGTTCTACTGTCTTGTTAAGGTTTTCAATCTGACCTTCAGCTTTACCCAATTTATCGTTTATTTCATACAGCATTGCTTCATGTCTTTTTAGTTTTTTTTTTCTTTTCTGGATAGCATCCAGCTTCTTCATCATGCTATTTTGATCTTACTGCAAATTCTTGAGTAATTCTAGTTCACTTTCATTGCGGGGGCCAGGATTCATCTCCACATCACCGCAAAGTAACAACAGTAGGATCAAATACAGTAACCGATTAGCAAATGAACGAAGCTTCTTATGGTGAACTTGTTCTTTCACGTGTTTGCTACAACAGCCAGAGCATGTCGTCGTGGGAGAAGCCGGCAACGCATACAATTTTCTACGTACATGAAAATGGTAGTGTTCTCTAACCTGTAATACCAACAGAGGAATTAGCTGCACGTCGACCAGCGTGCCGGCTCCACATCCCACAAAGGCATGTAGAGATGTGCTTAAGTAAGAATGCACACGGTCACGTGGTCCTCGATGCTCGAAAGTCTTTGTCATATCAGTTTTGAGACTGGTGCTATCACTGGCGTTCTTGCCATTGAAGATGCTTGGCGCTTCACCGAGGAGGTCCCTGCAGCCAAATGACACAATGACGTCTCAGCAAGTGCCTTTAGAAACGAAGGGATCACCGCCCCTTCGTCGATGGTGACGAACTCCAACGTTACTCGAAGAGCGGCAAGAACCTGTATACCAACAGAACAATTAGGTGCATGTCGGCCAGCGTGCTGTCTCCAAATCCCCTTTCTTATTCTCTTTCTCACTTCTTCAATTATACGGCTTACTGGAAGTATCCTACGTAAGCACATATATAACAAGTTAGGAAATTGCTAATTAGGCGTTAAATCCAGGGAAGAACGAGTAGGGAGCTAAGGCACTAGTGCTGGTGCATGGGCATCAGCAGGGACGTGCAAAAGAGGTATTGCCTCTCCTGAAGCGACACTAGCACTGTACCCCACCCAAGCTAAACCAGCACTGACCCCCCCACCCCCCCTCACCAAGATGAGATTCGACCCACTTTGTACCCACAAGACAAAATTCTGCCTACGCTTATGAGTAAGTGTGGGGCTTTTTACGAATAATTGGTGCAGAAAGGCGTGATCTTACGTGACTATAAACGATGAACACATACAAAACACTTGACAAACCCCTGTACGTACAAACTATCACCGTTGTCAGCAAAGAGGACGCCCTCCTAATGAGCGAATACAGGATTAAAACCATGACCATATTAGAATCACAGCTTTCACTAATTGTCACAACTCAAATTTTGAACTTGGTGTTGCTTGTTGTGAATATTATATTTCTTTTTCATGACCGACTGGTTCACTTTCTGCAATCGTACTATAGTAAACTCGGTTTTCCTAAAGCGTGAGCCTTGTTCGCGCTAAGTATACAAAATACGAATTGTGAGTTTATTTGTTCGGTATTCAAATTGATGTACTTCGAAAGCTCGCGCCCAGTGTTCTAACCAGCCACATCCATCTTGGGGGAAAAATTGAAACTATAGCTAGCTTTCAAAGAGCTGTCGATCCAAACCGGAACAAAACAAAAGAAGGCTTGCACGGAGCACATAGCATAGTCAGAACCGATATTTTAGGAACTTCAGTCAACTCCAAGAGACTAAAAACGAAAAAAAAAGTATCATTTTTCGGCAAACAAGAACGTGCTTTTGTATATATACGGATACGAGGTTGCATACAGTGCTGCATTCTGACGTTATATCAACATAATTTATTAACCGAAGATTGAATTTATATAGCTGCTAGCAACCTCAACCTCATACTGACATATTCAGAGAAATTCAAGAAGCGGCACGGCTCGTCCTGTTTGCCCTTTCTTTTCCGAGTACTTTCCTGTTGGCTCGTTCATGTGGGCTTCAGTTTGGCGTCTAAGCCGTAACTAAGCTCATAGTACTTCCATTATATTATACACATGTAAGTTCAGTAATGTTTCCCATGATTACAGGAAGTTTGCTCTCGCGTGGTAAGTACCATAGATATTTATTCTTCAGCGACTGCAGAAACATTAGCATCAACAACAGAACTTTTGCACGAACAGTCGTGTTTGCATAAACATAGTTGCGTACTTCCATAGCCGAATCATTGTATATTATCAGGCATCACGTTGAATGAATTGTTTGACCTATAGGTGTCCTAAAAGTGCAGATTCACTACAAAAGTATCACCAACGACTCATCATCATCATCAGTAGCAGCAGCAGCGTCAAACAACATCGCTTTGCACTTGACCAATTGAGCCCATAGCGCAGTTCCCGAACCATGGGTCGTGGTTTTGAACTACCTTACGCATGGAAGAAGTTTGTAAATGTGTCGAAGCAATGAAAAAAAAAATGTGACAATTTATGATCAGTGCCGCGGACTCGGCTCTCTATATGTGGTCTGGTCAACGTTAGCGCTTAAATCCAACGACAAATTTCAAGCATCTTGATAGGCGTGAGTGCATGTTGGCAGGAGTAAGGGGGGACGTGGCAGCTCTTGCTTAGATAATATATATAATGGGCGCCAGCAGCGTGAAACACAAAATCCTTCGCAATGTCTTTTCGAGTAGCAAAGCGATCGTCTCAGTGTTTTTGTAATTGCGCGCATATAAACAGGCTCTTTATGCGCGGTACCTCAGGGGCGTAGCCGAGCGGGACGAAGATGGAATTAAGACGCTTCCACAGTTTTTAAATTCGCTGGTGTATATATACACGCCTCAAGCTCCTCCCCCCGAAAAATTCTGGTTACGCCCCTGCGATACCTGCTGGACGCCTTCCGAAAGTCTTTTGAAAGGAAAAAAGGGCAAAAACGGGACGAAATAAGAATGGCCGCACAACACAGGCGCTTACTTCATGCCGTTTCTGCACCGTTTCCCCCTCAGTATCATATAACAACGGGCCCGCCAATACAACTTTCTCCAAAACTACAACTTTCGCTGAGCCTGAGCAGTGGGTTTCGTGATGACGTATATAGTGTTTCGTTCTTAGCATGCACCATCATATGTTACAGCAAAATTCTTGATACCATGCTATGTGAGCAATTCTATCTCAACAGTGTAGTATGCCCAAATTTATTTCAAATAGCGCATCATTCGCCACCTTTCTTCATAATTAATAGGACGGTCGAACTCGCTCTCCAAGAAGTAGGCATCGTTATATTGGTAACAATATAGCTGTGATGAATGGCGTTTGACGCAATGCTTATATATGAAATATTTCAATGACACTACATCTAGCGCCAATACGTCTTCTGCCGATAATATTATATATATATATATATATATATATATATATATATATATATATATATATATTTATTACTGACAGTGTCTATGACGGGTACATACAGACTTACGATGAGACTGACACAATGAGGTTCTACAGTTTTCATTGCAAACTTGCAATATTTATATCGTTGATATGTGAGGTTTAACGTCCCAAAACCACCACTTAATTATGAGAGACGCCGTAGTGGAGGGCTCCGGAAATTTCGACCACCTGGGGTTCTTTAACGTGCACCCAAATCTGAGCACACGGGCCTACAACATTTCCGCCTCCATCGGAAATGCAGCCGCCGCAACCGGGATTCGAACCCGCGACCTGTGGGTCAGCAGCCGAGTACCTTAGCCACTAGACCACCGCGGCGGGGCATTTATATCGTTAAGCCACATGCACATGGTATGTCTTGCACAGGTATTAAAATTACAATCTTGATTTTTCTCTTTTTTCAGCTAAAATTGTCCCTGGGAGGTGTCAGAGGCCAATGAAAAGTGGACGTTCGCCAGTTGATGGGTGGAAGTGTCATTACGAAACGAGGTTTAACGTACTTTTTTGCAACCAGTCGATAAGTAAATACACATAAAGAAGTATGCAATAAACACTGTGAACTTGTAGAAATCTCTACAAGTGAACTACGCTTCGTATAAAAGGGCCACTTATAAGGCTCCCAAAATTCAAAATACAAAAATAGCGAAATATTTTTCCTGATATTTCTCATCCTTTTTGACGCCCTACTGTGACGTAGACAGTGTAGTTTCCGTCACGGTTACAGCGTACATTCCCTTGGTTCGTTGATATACGCAAAATATCACATGTGGTTTGTCTCCTGCACTGCTTTGCCATGCAGCCGCTCATCCGTTCTTTTTTATTCCACATAAATATTGTGCACAATCAACCGATCAAACTTCTTTTTTGTGTGTGTTTACAACGGCGCAAGGGTTGATAACAGCGTGCAGTCGAGAAGCGCGAAATCCTGATAGGCTCTAGCGCTTAGCGCTGATATTGTTCACGTGCATTAAAGAACAAAGGGGCGAGGAGGACGCATTGTGTGTATGGAGGAGAGGAGAAAATCACCCGCTTCGTCTTTAAACGAGGCGGGTTAGTGGCCCTTAAAGGCTTTAGAAGCCTTTTTCTTATTGGGAAAATAGGAGGAAACAAATCTTGGAGTGTTCCACACTGACGTACTACTCCTCCTTCTCTCTTTCTTTGTATTGCTTTACAATGATTCCAGCAGCTTTCCTTCCTCCAGGTAGGGAATGAGACCCTTCATGCGCATGCTTAGCAGCGCCGCACATCAGTTTATATAGACAACAGGGTTGGTTTTGTGTTCATGTCCGGGCAACTATGAAATGCGCCAATGTGAAACGACCTCACCTCGATAACCTCGAAGAAAGATCAGATTGCCTTATCAAAAATGAAGTGCTTGATCACAAGCCCATGATGAAAAGAGCATCAATTATCAAAAAAAAAACAATACGCATGTGACGAGCCCACCTTGAAGAAATTCATTTTATTGTGCTCGCGGCCACTGGGTTTGTCGTGGTCACAATTTAATGCTATAATGCTAAACGCCTATGATGTATACCAGCGTCAATTGAAAAATACTTGAAAAAATTGGTTGATTGAAAACACTGTGGGAATCGATTATATGCGATGCACGAAAGATGAGGAAGGTTAAATTGTCACATTAAAATCAGCATACGTTAAGAGGCGGCCGTAAATTGTGCCGTGCATGGTTTCCAGTGCCAAGAATATCATGGTTTTGCCTGGCATTTGTGCTCATCGTCCATCAACGTCACGTAATTCTAAATTTAGTATATGTAAAGCTATCGAAACGGCCGCGAGTGTGCTATCAGCGTAGCATATGTAGTCATGTTTTACATGACACGCATGTCATGATTATCATGTTTGGACATGTCATTTACTTTCGTCGTCCGTTCGCGTCACGCAATGCCAAATTTGGTGTAGTTGAAGCCAGCAAAACGAGCGCGAGTGGATCATGAGCGTAGTATGTAGTCATGTTCCTACATGACACGTCTATGATGAATGTCATGTTTGCACCAGTCATATACCTTCGTCATCCATTCACGTCACGTAACATGAAATTGCGTATATGTGAAGATGGTGAAACGGCCGCGAGCACACAATGAGCGCACTGATGTTCCCGTTCAAGGATTTTTTTTTCCTTTTTCGGGTAATTTCGCCTGTCATTTGAAGCCAAAGGAAAAAAGGAAATCTTCTAGATAATGCGGGGAGCCGCTATAGGGGGCTGAGCCACTCGGACGCCTCTCGTATGGGCTCTGACAGTTTTTCATTTTTGCGGTTGAATAAGGTCAAGCACTGGATTTAAGACCTTCACAGCTGTCGCCAGACTGTCGGCCGACTCGTCAGACGCCTGAATATACCAGGTGCACCTAATTTCTCGAGCCGCGACACTTCTTTCAAGTTTCCACAACAACGGGGTCGCCTTAGCTACGCCATCGCAGTGCCATCGCGGGGCCATCGACGCGCTGGCAATTAGGTGACAAGCCAGGTCCCCGGTTTGTTCGAAGCCTACGAAATGGAGGTTGTGGAAATTGAGGGGGAAACGTTGTCTTCCGAAGAGTACAACGACACTCAAGGATGGGTTGTAGTCCATGAACGACGCAGAAAGGCGAAAAACAAGAGAAACGTGGTACCAGCCACGAACGCGGAAGGTGCGTCCAAGGAGGCGTCTTGGAGACTGAAGGATTTTCTGCGCCACCAGCCAGTGCCGGGAAAACCGCACTTTTCGGAAAACGATTACAAGATAGGAATACGCCCAGGAGGCGGTCTAGACTTGACGCGATAGAGTCTAGCGCTCATAAAAGACGGTGTTCTGCGGGCGGCAAAAGTACAGCCTGACATTGCTGGGGAAGATACTCTCAAAATCAACATGCGAAAAATACCATGATCATGAGTACACCTAGTCTGGCCAATGCGAAAGACTACAGCAACATCAAGGAAATTCAGATCCATAACAAGAGCTACACTACAGCCGCCTAAAAACCATAAACACATCAAAACCATAAAACACATTCAAAGGTGTTATCCACGGAATACCGAAGTATGATAATCAAGAAGACATAGAGAAAATCTTGGTCAAAGGAACCCGATGATTCTACATGCACAACGTATGGGACTTGCGGACTCAGTGGTCATTGTCTTCGTAGGGTCTGTTGTGCCGTACTTTGGGCACTACTGTGGTTCTGAATATAGGTGCTACCTCTGCAAGAAGCGATATGAAACATGCACTACTTGTGGACGAATTGGACATCGGGCGTATGTTTGTCCACAACCTGACAGCAAGAAATGTCGTGGTTGTGGGCTGCTCAGTTCAACTGAAAATCACCAGTGCGACCCAAGGTGTTGTTTTTTGCGGGACAGGTCATCTTACAGGAGACGAAAAATGCAAAGAATTGTTTAGGGCCCCGTATCTTTTGAAGAAAACATGGTGGGAGGAACAACAAAGACAAGGCGATTAACAACAAGAAATGAAGACTTTGTCGAATATTAGTGCAACACATACCTAGAGGGAACAGCACACATCTGGAAATCGAGTGGAGGAAAATGGCGACGCTACCCAGGACAGAGGAAGACGACGCAGCAATCGTTTCAGCTTCTTCCCGCGACTCACCGAAGGGCATAGAGAAGGAACCCAACACAAACCCCGATCGATCCAGGTCAAGGTCCACATGTCAACACAGATTTAGGTCACGGGCCAAATCCAAGACAAGGGAAACGACGTCACCTTGAGGAGAGTCCCACGAGGGTCCTGACAGTGGTAAGAGCAGCCGACAAACGGTGAGCTGGGCGGGCAAGGTATCCGTGGAGTCAGTCTCGTCTGGGAGTTTGCCTGAGGCAGTGGCAGAAGGTTAAGGTCAAGAGCTAAACCATATTAAGAAAAATGCTAGAGAAATTCACTCGCGAGAACACGATACAAAGGGACGAAATCAAACTAAAGGAAGAGAACGCTAAGCTCGGGCAAAATCAACTGCGCGAGTCAACTAGCCCCATAGCATCGTCTAGTCGAATTTTAACTCCTCTTCCTGCACAGGAGTCAAGAGCGCATGCAGCAAAACGAAGAGCAGGGTAAAATGTCTCCTGTAGAAAATGAAGACCCGACAAAGCCCCTTGAAAAAAAGCCGAGAATATGCCAGGAGAAATAACTAAGGTAATGCAACAAGTCACAGGATTGCAGTTGCAGCTCGGAGAAATGAAACAAAGAATCGATAGCATAAAAAGATTGACTAATGGTGGTGCAGAAAACGCTAACAGACTTGAGGTCTATAGGAGCAGGCCTGGTTAAAACTACGACTAAACCCCAACCAGCCGACTACGACCGACGAAATCAAGGTAGCAGGGGAAGCGACCGTTCCTAAACATGGAACGATGTAATCAGTATCAATTTTGGCAGTGGAACTGTCGTGGGTATCGCCGGAAACTGGGAAACTGTTAACAGTTCCTCCACGGAAAGGAAGCGCCAGACGTCATCCCCTTACAGGAAACTGGAGGAATTGCTAAATTGCCGAATTACAAACCTTATGGTACCCCTGACGAAAAAACATCCGTAACAACCCTCGTGCGAAGAAATCTCACGGAGATAGAACATAATGCAAAATTCTGCGATGTTAATCATGTTTTTGTTGAGTTACTTCCATCGCAGAAAAGTGGTGAGAGTCTATTCATATCAAACGTCTACAGCAGCGCTAGACAAAAGACTAAATTTAGGCCGCTTTTAAGAAAAACGATCAGCATTCCAAACAGCCGAGAACTTGTTAGTAGGAGATTTCAATGCATCGCATGTGGCGTGGGGTTATGACAAAGAAAATATCAAAGGTAGAAATCTCTGGATTGACGCCCAACAGGACGGCCTTACGTTAATAGCCGACCCCCTTTTCCCAACTAGGATTAGAAACAGCGTATCCAAAGACACGTCTCCTGACCTCACGTTTACTAAGAATTGAAGCTTTTCGACTCAACGCACAATAAAATATGGGCAGTTGTCACAGGTCCCGTTAATTAGGGAGGCGATCGCCGGGATAATTCCAAGAGCCGAAGTATCAGCCCCCCGAACTGCACCACGAAAGCGTGGACAAATTAGAAATGGTCCTATTTGGCGCGCCAGCGGACGCCGGCTGTGGCCCAAAGAACAAGTCAGAGCCGAGATTTGATAAGCAAAACGAAATTATATTCCCAATTATGGCAGATCAAATCAATACAAAAATATGCACACTCGACAATAGTTGTATACGATATGCCACCAATCAAACAACGTACTACACAGTACAATCAGCCACACTCGAAACAATGGACACAAACAACAATATGCACTACAATGCAGTCGCATGCATCGAACAACCAAGACACTTAAAGACTAAAGAATTAGACAACATATTCAGTCCAAAGTTCTTGGAACAAAAGTCTGAATGAGACTCTTCCGAGAATCACTCACTCAAAGTCCAGCATTGTTGTCGTTCCGCTGCCCCCGAAGTTTCTCTTCCAGGAAACCTCGCGTCTTCAATTGGCCGCCCTCCAAGCACCATACTTCGCCGGTAACACGTCGGCTTCCCACGCGTTGCGATCGCAGCACGCGTCTCCGCTCTCTGGTGGTAGTCTCACACTCTTCTGCTTGTAGCACGAGTCTTCACCCCTCAGGTGAAAATCCTCTTCATTAC